AATTATTTGATGATTTTCGTTTGAAGAATTGGGTTGACCAGCCTACTCATAGTTTAAAAGAATCACTTGTAATAGTTTGTATATTTCTGATGTAATGGTTTATCCAAGTAGAATATATTCTGACCATGGGTTGGTTAAAGCCTTTTTAGAAGAAAACGCTTCAGTAAATACTACAGAATAATCAGATTGTGGAAACATATTGATGAAGAAAAATTTATCTCGTTGGTTATCGGTTTGCCGATTGGTAAAGCAGGTTCAGGTATGTATGCTGACAATTTGTTTGATCTATTTGAAAATGAAATAAAAAGGATTTTAGATATAGTTGCACCGCTACACAGAGTAAAGTGTCGTCGTGATTCTGTGTGCCATGGTATGATAATAAATGTCGGCAGCATAAATAGCTCTGTAAAAAGCTTGAAAGAAGTTATAAAAAATCAATGTCAAGTGATGAAAAAATAAATGGTTTAGTTCGCTGAAAACAAAAATTAGTTTTGGCTAAAAAAGAACTGTTTTTGGTCAAATTTAATTGATGAGGATAGAAATAGACCGAAACAATTATAGAATGCACTAAATAAACTACTTTGCAAAGATAAGATTTAGTTGACAATAGGGTGATAAAACTGAAACGGTGCACACTAGTGATGGTTTTCTGAAATTTTTCGAAGATAAAATTGAACGTGTTCGAGATGCAACGGCTAGAAACAAATCATCTTTTTTTGAGAAAAGGATTGAGATAAGCAACGAGTTTCTAATCTTTCCAGAAATATAGTGAAGAAGAAATTATAAAGAAAATTTTAAATTGTCCAACAAAAACATTTTTACTTGATTGCCTATCCAAGTATTTCAACTAAAAACACATTGGTTTATTTTCAAAATTTTTTACCAAGTCTCATCAACATGCGTTAAAATCGATGGTACACTGGAAAATAAATTTGCTAAAAAATGTTGGTTAATAGCAGCCTTAAATCAATTTTAAATTCGCAGATAAAATTGAATTCTTATTTTAAATAAATAAATATATGTATAATTGTAACTTGGGTTCCCTGACAAAATAGTCACAAAGCGAGATAAACGCGATAAAGTTTGACAAGCAGGAAGATCCTGACAGGATAGTTTTTTTTTAATGTACATTTAAACAAAACATAATCAATTACGCCAAACCTTTTCATCTAATTAGCTAACTTATCATTATTGTTAATATTAAAAAACAATTAGAGTGGTTTTCCTTAATATCGCAGGTACAATGTTAACTGTTAATCACATTGAACAATTTTGAATAAAAAGATAAGATTTGAGCAACGTTCAAAATTTAAGTGATAAGATTCTAGAATGTTACAGACAAATTATTCTACAATTTAACTACAGTGATGTTTGCAGCCGAACCAAAAGAGTTCAATTTAGCGGAAGACCAAGCATCAATTTGAACACCTATTGAAATGGAACTCAACTGAATTATTATCGTTCGAAACGTTCTTTTTATTAGTAGGTAACTGTAATTACGATTAAGGTTGGCTATGAATTAAATAAAATTATTTAAAATTATAGTATATTCACTTTTTATTTTGATTCAAAATCATTTAAAAATTGGTGATTTCCCTTTCTGCTTCAAATTATAACATAACATAACACACGAGTGGTTAGCGTATCCGTCTACCACTCCAACGACCCAGGTTCGAATTCTGCAGTTTCTACGGGTTCATTCAAATAGCCGACCCCCGGCTAACCCAGCCGTCCATCTTTTTGAGGTTGATAAATGGGTAGATGCATGTTGGCCGGCTAGATGGCCCAGTAGTTCAAATGCCAGGTGAGTCAAACATCTCAATGGCTATCATATAGGTACTCAGCGTATATAATGCTGTGCTTGCGCGTGCACATAAAATACAGGTGTACGTAGTGTGAAAAGGATAAAACAGCCTTTGTGGCGAAGATGGCTGCTTCAAATATTGATTTGATATTTGATAAGATATGAAGAACATAATAAAAGATATATATTTGTAACATTGTAAGTGGTTCTGCGTATCTAGAGCTGCAATAATAAAGACTAAAAAAACTTATACCCCTCAAATTAAAAGAATAATAGTAATGTCGAATTATAATACTAATAGTTATTGATAAATTAACTATATAAAAATAAACTTCATCTGTATAACTCATGGAATAATATAATTCAATGGTATAACTATAGAAGTACGCGCATGAAGTCACGCAAATGAAAACATATAAAAAGAGTTAATTAATTAAACAAGAATTGTTGTAATTTTCAAAATTATAATTTTTTGTGTGAGATACGCTGACGAACAATTGTATAAAAAGTTCAGCCATTATTAAAATTGATAAATTTTTATCAATATTCTAGATTGATGTCAAAACAATTAAACTATCAAATAACAGAATCGCGTATTACATGACGTCAATTAAAGTAGTAAAAATAAAAAATGTGAATAAGGTACAAATTTTTGAGTTTTAAACAATTATCAATAGTAAAATTAAGTGTAATAATTATATTATAACAATTCACAATTGGAAAATACTTAACACAATTATTTAGCTAGTTGAACTGTTAGTTTAACCCAATTCGTTGCTGAACTGATAATTTGTTGCTGAATGTTCGTTGCGGACATTACCTTCGTATCAACGTAACGCTAATGTTGGTGAAATTGTTTCACCCGGTCAGGAAGATTATTTTTATTTTTTACTGAAAGTTACATTATTATTGTGTTGATTGATGAGGTTTTTATTTTTTGTTTAAATAATTCATCTTAAATATTGATTTGACGTTTTAGTGATATTCCACCTAATTTATAATTTATTATATAATAATAATAAATTATTATTATAATATATTTTTATGTTAATTAATTAATTAATTTAATTAAAAACAATCATTATTTTATTATAAATTATTTATAAATAATGATGAATCTAACTAAAATGCTACTATTATCTATTTGTTAAAATAACCCATGTCATAATTATAAATTATACCATAGCGATAGCCATGGAAATATCATTCACGTTGTCTGCAATAAGCTAATAAATACTGCATATATAAAATATATTCATGAAAGTTTACTAGATCTGCTGTAAAATATGGTAAAAATTTTGTTGATTGATAATTGATAATTACCACAGTGTGCTGTGTAACTTACTAGGTCCGAGGTAAATACCATGGCTTTTCTGACAAAAAATTTCCATTGTATATTATTATTATTGGTATGTTTGTAAGTGTCCTTTAAAAAGATCTCAGAGGTGCTAACGATTATATTATTGCAGTACATTGTGTAACACTTTACTAAGATCAATCAATCTTCGTTTTGTGTCCAGAGACCCGGTTCCCCGAGGTAGGATGTAGCACTTTACTAAGACAATGCAATAAATAGACGGCAGTTTAGCCATGTTTACAACAGATAGGTCGTAATATAGACTATTGCAATAGTCTATTTTTGAGTGGATAAAGGAATGAACAAGGCATTGAAGAGTATGCTTGCTTAAAGATCATTTGATACGCCTAAACTTGCGCTATTGTCCAGAGCATTCTTTTGAAACTGCCTTTGTATGGACGTTGAGACATGTTATTATCGAAAAAAAATCCTAGATTGTGTATTGATGTGTAAAATTCAATGTCAGAATTGCCAAGTCTTATAGGCTCAATGTTCATTTTTTCCAATTGTTGCCAAGTGCCAACCTGTAAAAACTGAGTTTTTGATTCAATTTAAGTCTATTTGCCGTCATCCATTCATTAATTTCTGAGAGACATGATCTGAATCTACAGACCAGATCTTCAAAACAACAAAAGGGACACTAGCAGTGATTTGAATATCATCAGCAAATTCGTGGTGTTTCAAGTTATATCTGTTAATCATTTTGAAAACATCTGCAGTGTACAACACAAACAGGAGGGGGCCGAGAACCGACCTTGGGGAACACTGTATGATATAGCTTCAACATGTGTCAAATTAGATCTGACCAAAACCTGTTTTTTATAACCAGAAAGATATAATTCAATCCATTGAAGAACAACACCTGATACTCCAAATGAATATTGGAGCCTGCGTAAAAGTAATGAGTGATCAACACAATCAATAGCAGAGTTCATATCTAAAAGAGCAAGCAACGACACATTCTGAGCATCTGTGGAGGAATATAAATTAGAACAAACATCCAATAAAGCCATCTCAGTCGAATGGAACTGATGATAACCTGATTGGTAAATTGGAATAAAATTATTGGTGTTTAAGTGAGTGACAAGTTGCTGAAAGACTATGCATTCAACAACTTTAAACAAAAATGCAAGATTCGACACAGGCTGATAACTTGAAAGTTTATTTTTGTTCAATGTACTTTTTTCAGAATAGGGCTTTTTTGAAAGCTAATGAATAAGAGCCAGAAAGAAGGTACAGGTTGATTAAAAAGGTGAAAATGGCAGAAACAAATACATATTTTGCCCATTTTGCGTTGATTAGCTTTTTACCAATAGATTCAACTTTTCTTATTTGGGTTAAATCATATTTATTAAACAGTTGTGTCATAGTGCGGCTTACAACGTTGTTTTGGCGTGAGCGCACTATGACACAACTGTTTAATAAATTTGATTTAATCCAAATAGAAAGGTTGAATCTATTGGTAAAAAGCTAATCAACGCAAAATGGACAAAAATATTTAATGAATATCGCTGAGAACCTCGTACCTAAAAATATCGCTGAGAATCTCGTACCAATATATATATATATAAATATATATATATATATATATATATATATACACATATATATATATATATACATGTTTGTGCATATATTGTAACATAACATATATTATATCATATATATATATTTTTTAATTTTGTATATATACATTAATATATATATATATATATTTATATACATATATATATATGTTTGGGCATATGTTATATATATATATATATTTTTAATTTTTTTTGCTTACAGTAATGCTACCAAAATAAATATTTTTTCAAACTGAACTGTAAATGTACCAAAATGAATGTTGTTGCTGGCAAAGCTAAAAGAGGTCGCCCTAAAGGTTCAAAGAATAAAGTGAAAAAATCTACAGAGAAATCTACTGGCAGTGCTTGTGATGTCAATAGTGACTACATTGAAAGGCTAAAAAATAAAAATGTTGATTCCGCTGTTTTATCAAAAATGGAAACTTTCAGAAATTGCATCCTTGAAAAACTGAAAGAAGAGTTTTTTGGCAATGATGTTTCTAACAACATAGGCTCACCGTCGTTTTCAGATGTTAAAAAAATTATACCCAAAATAAATTTTTTGAAGGAAAATTTAACTGAACATTTTAATTTGCAGACAGGTAAAACCGTGCATGATAAAAAGACATTGAAATCGATTGCTAAAAAATCCAGTGAATTTATTAAGCTAACAGTAAAAAATAAAAACCCAGATTCGTTTGATGAAGTTTTAAAGAAGTCTGATCAGTCACCTACAAAAGAATGTTTAAAAGATGAGAATAATCATTTGAACAAGAATTCAGTTTATTGTGTAAGTTCTTTTGAAAATAAGCATTATGTTTCTGAAGGTCTTAATATTCTGGTTGATAAAAATACTATTAATAATGTCCACTGTAATAAAATAGTGTCTGCCAATGTTTATAAGCATAATGTAAAGTCAAAGCTGCAAAATAATTTTATAGAATTAAATGATGATGGCAGTGTTGGGCCTGCTGCAACAATCGTTTCACTGGCATCACTTGTCACAAGTACTATCGATGTTCCAATTAGGTCCCATCATTCGTCAGTGCTGACAAATAAATGTAATAATTCAGCAACACAAATTGCATCATCGTCATCAGTTCCTTCATCATCATCTTTGAAGGATGCTTTAAAATCACCAATCTCATCAACATGTAATGTAACTACAGAGGCCAAACATGCTATAATGCTAACAACGTCACCTAATTCTTCAACATATACACCAGCCAAAACATCACCTTCTGAAACATCAGGAGTTGATATGTTATGCAAGATGTCCGCTGATACAAACGTAAAAAATAAAGTTATATTCAACAATATTTCAGATAATTCATCTATAAATACATACAAACTTGATAATATTAAAAATACTAAAAATAATGAAAATATTTGTGCTGTAGATGTTATAACAAAGACCAACGATAAAATATGCTTTATTGAGAGTCAGAATCAAGGCGTTGTTAAATATTTTGATACTACTAGATTAAATTGTAATGACCAAGAAAATACAACCAGTCAAAACTGTTCATCAAATAAAATTTTTGAATGCGTGTCTAACTCATTTGATCAGTTGCACTTATCTGAAACGGCAAGCTGTTCAACTCCAAAGCCTATCAAACCAGATGATGAGACACTTTTAGCCAGAATATTTTGCAAGTCGTATCCCAAATTAAAATCAATTAAACATAACTTAAATGTACCAATTAATCATAAAAAAGTGCCACAGGATATTGAAAAACTTAGTTCAAACAAACATTTGTTATCCTCGTCATATTCAACATTTTGCAAACGTCGATACTACAAAAAGAAGAAAAGCGCTTTGATGGCACTTGATCAGTCAGTTTTGTCTTCTACAGAAAACATTAAGGAATCAAATATTGGATCTGATCCCGTGCAGAAAGATCAAATTGATGTTTTGTTAAATAAAAACGTTGTGACAGATGTAGCTGATGGGTGGCTATCCAATAAAGCATTGACATATTGCCATTCAGTATCAAATACTGCAATTAAACAGAGAACTGAAGTTTCTTGCTTAGGTTGGTAATTGTATGAACTAGTAAGCAGAATTTGTAGTAATAATAATAATGGGAACTTATCTTATTTTTCATCAAATGCATAAAAATCAATGATTAATAGAAAATAATTTTTTCAATTAAAATCATAATCATAATAGCCAGTCATCACTGCTTTTCATTTAAATAAGAAAAATAATAACGATGATGATTATAATGATTATAATAATAATAATTAATTTTATGGAAGTACAGATGTGGCACTAGCCAGGTGCAAAAATGACTACATCCCCATGAAATTGGCACATCATGAACATCATTTTAGACAATTAGGTTTAAAATTTTTTTTTTTTTTCTTATTTGTTATAACAAACACTTTGAAGTATGTGACAGTCAGTGAGATGATGCAAATAGAGGTTTGCATACATCACTTAAGAAATGCTGATAATAAGTCCAATGTAATAAATATTAATGAAATAATATTATATTATTTACTGTTCATTTTTTTGCATAATTTTTGTTTAACGTATTTTTTTATATGTCTAAACCGTTTCATTTTTGTATATATCTGTTTATTAATTTTTCAATTGGTTCATTAATAATCACCAATAAAAAGTCATTATTTTAACCTTTTCTCTGATAGTTTTGTATGATGTATTTATATGCCTTAAACAGATGTCTTTTTTGTTCATGTTTTATTGCTGATCTTTTGCTGCGAGTTGAAGCTTCATCTTTTCATGTCATCTCTATCTCACTCACCACAAATTCTAGACTGACTAACCCTAACTGGTTGCCAACTGAAAAGAAATTTGTTTTAAATGATTGGAAAATCTTTAGTGATAGTATATGTATACATTTTGTGTAAGGAGCTAGTGAGAGTTTAAATGTAAAAATGTGTGGGAAAAATTTAAAAAGTAAAGTGGTTACATAGAGATATATATATATATATATATATATATATATATATATATATATATATAGTATATGTATAATTATATATATTTTCATGTTTTGGATTAAATACCTTTAACCCCAGCTTCCGGAGGTTTGGAATCTATCTCTCAGGTTGATCATAAGAACCCACCAGCGATAAATAAAAAAGTTGTGGGGCTTGATGCCAGTGTACAGTGTCAATGTAGTGATATTATTGAATCAGTGGGCAAAAGGAGTGTTTCAATCGATGTTGAGATTCAAACTGATGACGTTATCAACTTGCGTTTATCAACTGACCACAAAACGTGTCAAACAGATGATGCTTTCTTACATAGAAAAGATGCTGGCACCCAAACGGTATCTGTTGATGAATATGTTTTCAGTGGTCGTGGGTTGGCAAAGAATGTAAATAATAAAGAGCTGCCCCTAAACTACAAAACATGCATTTGTAATGATAATGTTGTAATTAATCGCTCACCTCATGATGATTTTTCATCAGAGGTTCCTTCACATCTGCAAAACTCTTCACAGGAGGAAAACCAAAATGAAGTCAGATCTACGACTATATCCGTTATAAATAGTGAAATGTTTGTTCAATCGAATTTTGCAAATGAGTCATTTACCTGCCCATCACCATTAAATCCTCTCAAAATTGTTCCTGATACACTTGCCCACTCAGAAACTACGTCATCTAATCTTCCCAGTAGTTTTTTGGACACTACGTTTCTTAATAACTTGTTAATACTGCCAACTCCGACACTGGAAAAACAAGTTATGCCATCAATATTGCATTTTGAAGAAAATAATGAAGCTGACTGTCACAATCAACTTGAATTTGATTGTGAAGAAAATTTTAGCAATGATCTAACAAATGAATGTGGCCATAACAATAATGTTTTTAGTCTCTATAATCCTATAAACACATGCAAAATAGTTACAGCAGACAATGCAACTGTGAATATCATTGATCAGTACATGTCAAATTGTCATGCTCAAAACAAACCAATTGAAGTTTCAATTCCTCTGTCACATATTACATCTATCTGTTCTAATTTGGAAAAAAAAGCACAAACTTTTGAAATACCAACCACACCATGTAAGAAAAATTTCTGTTATGACGTTAATGTAAATGACAAAAAATTAAATATGATGGAACAGAAAATTCCTAGTTTCAATCACAACAAATATAATATTTTTGATAAAACAAATGTTGCCAAAAATGATGAAGTTCAGGGTTGCAACGGAAGTGGGACATCAGATGTCAACATTGCATCACACAAAGCTCTTATATCGTCCACTATTTTGAATGACGATCTGACGACAAAAAGTAACAAACTATCCAAAGTGTCTTCTCTATCGACACTAGTTTTGCCTGACAATGAAGATGTTGATGTAATGAATAGCGACACTAATGGTCTGCAAATTAGAGATGTTTCACTTACTGGAGCAAACTGTGAAAATGCAGTATCGCTTGACAATGGATTTATCAACGGTTCAACTTTGTTATTTCAAAACTCACTTTGATTTCTTCATTTTTGCTAATTTTATTTTCGTTTTTTTTTTCATAAGTTTCAGTTAATTAGTTTCATCCAATTTAATTAATTCTGATGGTTTATAATATAATAATAATTATTTTAATAAAAAATTTTGCTAGTAAGAAGAATTTTTGCAAATAAAAAGTAAACATAAAAGTAATTTTAGGAAGCATAAGGGAAAGCAAGTATTTTTTACAATTCTATTGGTGATGATAAAAGGAATCAAAGTTTAACTGAATGCATAAGAAATTTAATGAAATGAGGGGATTCTTGTTAAACTCTAACCAGTGTTTTATTGTATATAAGGTTTTGGTAACAGCTCTTTACTATTGCAAACTGTAGGTTGATGAGCAAAATATGAAGTGTCTTAAAAGAATATTCAATAGATTAACAGTGAGCTAATATGCAACTGATATTATTTATTACATATAATACAGAACATAATCGAGATTTTAATTTTAATCATTTGCTCTTTTTTATATTCAGTTTCAGATAAACTAGATTTTTTTACAAGCACTGAAGAAAATGATGATGCAAGTCTCAACTCCGGTGAAGTTTGCAAGTATACTTATCAGTTAAATTATGGTAGCACAATAAGTAATAAGAAAAAAAGAATGAATGATGATATGGGTTACTCACAAAAAAAGAAACGTAGACTATCTAGGAGAAAAGAAAATGAAGAGAAAGAGAGTGAATATCTGTATGTTTAGTGTGTTGGCTTTTTACAACTTGTTTAATTTTATTAATATCATTTTTTACTATTTTTTTAAAATTAAACTTTGATAAACGCAGAGATTGGATCAAGCTTAAATATAATGATAAAGAGCTTAAAATGTTTAAAAAGGAAAATAACAACTTGAAAAAATATTTTTGAAAAATACATGAAGTTCATAAAAATACAAAATGACTTTGAAAAAATAAAATTAGGTAAAGTATAATCTAGAAGAAATTATGAATCAGAAAAATAAAATATGATAAACGATAATTAGATAAATAAGAAAATTGGATTGAAAAGAATCAATAACTGATCAAATTAACATTGAAAAAGATAAATAAAAAAGATGTATATATATTAATATATATATATATTAAGATCATAATAAATACGGTATTTAATAAAATCCGCTGAATATTTTGCTTTTGCTAATTCACCGTTAATTTTTGTAGCAACTAGTGATTGATTATCAATTAATTAAAAGTAATAAAAATTCTTTGGACTTCATTATGCTGCGTAAAAGTCCTCCGGCTTTTAATGGCGAATTTTTTTTGAATATTTATTGGACCTAGCTTAAAACAGTGGAATGACCGCCTTTGTACTGGCAGGGCAAAATTTAGTGCTAGAAGTCCTCCAGACAATTCCTATCGAAAACCATTTTAAGTGCAGTTTTGCCGTAAATTTACGCTACAGTGAAAAACACCTAAATCAGATATATCATTCTTAGTTTTGAAACAGAACACAGCGATTTGGAGAGTCCATACAACAGCTAACAGTCAAGCGATTGACTGCTGCCATACCAACAATTTATTGGGAACATCGGGACAAATTTGCACTGAAAACATTCATCAAAACTTTTCGTGATCCGGAACTCAAACAATTCTTTCTGCTGGCAGACAAACGGAGCTTTAGGGATACTGTGGCGTGTACGTCGTACATTCGAGTCAGCAAATCAGGCGTCAAGAAATGATGCGAGGAAACGCCAGGTATCTGAGGATTGTTCCGGTCAAAGGATGGTTTATGAAAGAAAAACTTTACAGCGTACCGAAATGTCAGAATTGTGGTGAAAAAGACCTACTTCGTGACTGCAAGCAACTTCGAAGAACATTTACTGTAAGATTGTAAAAACGTGAAAAAGATTCGCCTCCTCTAACAGTCAGAAGTTGGCAGATAGAATTAAAACTTGCAGCACCGAAATCTAAATTTCCAAGTTACACCAAAGTCTTATGGCTGGACGGAAAAGTTGGTTCGCGGGAAAAGTTGAATTGCATCAAGCCTCACTACATAACATGATCAAGATAATTGCCATCTATCGACCACCTAGTTATAAATATGAGTCTTTTTTAGAAAAAATTGAATCGATACTAAATAGTCTAAATCCACTTGATAAAATTTTCATTGTCGGAGATTTTAACATTAATCTAATGGATAAAACCTCCAAAGATTTTCAAAATTTACTTTTGTCGCATTACTTCTTACCTTTGATTGATTTACCAACTAGGATAACTAATAACTCAATTTCACTAATAGATAATATATTTTTTAACTTAAATCAACAATGTTATAATGGAATAATAATATCAGACTTTTCAGATCATTATCCAATTTATACAGTTGTAGAAAATACAGGATTTGTCACTACAGATACTCTGACTTTGAAAAGGAACATAAATAAGAGAAACATTTCCCTAATTAAGGAAGCTCTATCTTCTGAAAAATGGGATTCAATAACGGATGAGAGTAACATTGACACCTGTTGCATGAATTTTTATAATCAATTAAATAGAATTCTTGATATTTACGCCCCATTGCAACCGCTGAAACGGAAAAATAAAAAGCCATGGGTAAGTGATGAAATAATTAAATTATCAAAGAAACAGAATAAACTCTATAAAAAAACAATTTCAACAC